TGGATTAGTCCTGGTGTGGTACTGGACTGCAATGTAGGTTTGAACTGCAAGGTTGGTGTTTCAAACTCACCAGCCACTCCTAGGAAACCCTTTACAGGGTCGCTGTGGGTCAGAACTGACTTGACGGCACTTAATAACAACAAGAACGCTTTGGATAGAAAAGCCATATCAAGTCAATTCAAGGTAGCATGATCTCTTTAGAGTAACAGTGTATTGTTTGAACTTATAACCAAAAATTACTGCTTTTGTAGCTTAAAAAATTAAGACTATCAATAAAGTGTAGCTGAAACAAAACTATGCTGCAGGAAAAATCAGCAAGGCAGAGCCTAAACTTTTAATAGCTTCCTGCCTTGTAGGGGCTGGAACAAATAGGAGAAAACAAAAACATTACAGTTATTCTGGACTTTAGTATTTTCTACTTGAAAGAATTATTGAATCCATCTAAAGAAATATTTTGACCAGTTTGTACACAATGAAAATATTCACACAAATCATTACATGAAGGTATAATATTTGTAAGACAAATGTTCTCAATGACATGTGGTAGCATAGCCACTTTTAAGAGAAAAAATTCTCACTCCATTTCATTTTAAAAAAACATGGATTTTATCATTTGCAAAACCAGATTCATCAGAACTGTAAACCTTAGTTGCAAAATTTCAGAATCTTGTTATTTTCCTCTTCTGAATTCCATAAATTAATCCAGCCAGATGTCTGTTGCCTTCTCAAGGATTTCTTGAATCTTTCTTCTCTATATCTTGATCCTATCAGGATTGATAGGATTATACCAGGATTGATAGGATTAGGAGAGAACATCTTGATTGTATCTTGATAATATCTTCTCTATATCTTGATCCTGTCACTTTGTAATGTTAGTGTGTATCCATATTAATGTGGGTGAAGGGAAAGGCAATAGACACTAAGGGAAGGTCAGTACAATATGACCAAGGCAAAGGAGGGCACTGAGAGATGCACAAGAGTTTTCGACAACAAAGGCAAATAGTATTACATCCATCACCCAGCATTAACAATAATCTACAAGTGGATACATTGGCAGACATGCAAACTGAACAGGTATGGGAAGGTGAATAGAAATACACATATATAGATTTGGCATGGAATATTTCTACAAATGTATTTGTATGTGCCGTAGATACAAGCGGGCTCTGACAGGTTCTTAGGAAATCCCATTTTCTTTTCTATTCTTCCATGAACTTTTTGAAGCCCCTTATATATCCATGTATATAGTACAACATACAGGGGGCACGTTATGAAAACTTCTTAACCATAATTAAACATCTTGAGAGAAGGAGTCACTGGGCTTAGGGACTTAGAGTCACAGTCTTGGGGAACACATAGATGAATTGGCATAAAAATTTACAGAGACGTTATTCTACATCCTACTTTGATGAGTAATGACTAGAATTTGAAAAGCTAACAAGTGACCATCTAAGATGTAACTATTAGTGTCTCCCTGTCTGGAGTAAAGAAGAGTGAAGAAAATCAGACTCAAGGAAACAATTAGTCCGAAGTAACAATAGGCTACTCAAGTCACAACCTCCAGTAATTGTCCAGAGACCAGAAGAACTAGATGGTCTCCAACTACCACTACCACTAAAGGTCCTGGACAGAATGGGAGAAAAATGTAGAACAAAATTCAAATACAAAAGCATAAAGACTCGATTTACTAGTGTGATGGAGACTGGTGGAACCTCTAAGACTGAGGCCCTGAGATACGCTTCAAGCTGGAACTCAACCCACCCCCAGGGATCACCATTCAGTCCAACAGGCCTGTAAAGGGAACAGGAACACTCATGAGGAAAGTATACCTCAGAACAATTAACTGTATGAAACCAAAAGGGCGGCATTTGCCCCCAAAGAAAGCTCAGAAGGCAGGAAAGGATAGAAAAAACGGGTGAGTTGAAATGGGGAACCCAGGGAGGAAATGGGAAGAATGCTGTTACATTGAGGAGATTGCAACTAAGGTCACAAAACAAAATGTGCATAAATCGTTGAATGGAAAACTGATCTGCTCTGTAAAATTTTACCCAAACCACAATATTTAAAAAAAAAAAATTAGTATGTTAATTTTTCTCAATTCTTGGCAGTCTGGGGTCCTTTCCCCTCTACTTCAGAGTATTATTATACACTCTTACAAAAATGTGCTCATATGAGTGCCTCTTTGTAAACATGAATAAGTCTAGGAAACAACAGTTTGCATCAAAGTTGTTGTGTGTTTTTTTTCCTTTAAAAAACCTATTAAATTCACCTTCTAAACTTTGAAAAGAAACAAACCAAATTCAGCCCTTTGTCTCCCATGTTTGGATGATCAGAGTTCCTCTCACTTAAGTCATCCTTTCTTCATAGCTATCAAGAAAAATAATCAGAAAAGAAATCACTGAATAGTTAAAACCATTTTCATCAAATACATATGAAACATGCTGTTGCCTGAGTTAAAAACTGGTTGAGACAGTTTTACATATAACTATTTTGGACTTCGATGTGCACATGTGGACCTAAAACTAGGGTGTTTGGCATGACTAAAGAAAACTGGCCCAGATTTAAAATTAAACTCCAATTTTGATTAAACTGCCAGTTGGTCTAAGAAGAATACCTTGTTCAAACATGTTCCAGGAGGATAGGAAATAGGATTGATAAGGTTAAGAAAGTTTGTAACTTTTTGAGAAGACTTTAGCTTTTTGATGAACTCTTTGCTAAAAAATATTAATCAAGAAGATTGTTTATGCAGCTTGTCTTAGGAAGAATACTTTTAGTTAATATGTCCTAGGAGGTTAGGAAATAGAATTGAAAATGTTAAGCAAAGATGCAGTCCTGCATTTATCTCAACTCTGTAGCCAAGATGATTAAATTGCCAGTCAACCAAGTCTTAATTCTAATTTCCTAGTTCCCTCAGACCAGACTTCATTTTTATTCATTCATTAAAAGCTTTGCTCCATTTCTGCTAATTCCTTATAAATCTATAACTAAAATAGAAGCATCGCTTGTTACTAGGAGAGGCAAACATGCAAGTGGACTCAATTGTTCTGGACATAATGTTTTGTTCAACAGACACCAGGATGTTAACCAATAGACTTACTGATGTTAAGAAAAATGTTTAAGGAACTTTAATAACCTCTGTAACTATTGCCTGTAATAGGGGTGGAGTGGTGTGGTGGCGCAGGATATTGCGCTGGACTGTAAGATCAGTTTGAACTGCAAGGTCGGCGATTCAAACCCACCAGTCACTTCTTGGAAACCCTACACAGGGTTGTCATGGGTTGGAGCCAGCTCTATGGCACTTAACAACAACAATTGCCTTGTATCCTTCCCATGCCTGTGAGCATACAGCCCTTTGTTCACTCCACCTTATAAATACCTCTCTGTTCTTCTGCAATTTGGAACATTATTGCACCCTGCTTTGGATGCTACAACATGTCCTGTTTCCCAAAACTCCTTTACACTAATAAAACATTTTACTTTCGCTTTGAACAGCATGTCAGCCTGGAGCTTCACTATAACAAATATCTGTTGATTATTGTTACAACAGAGTCAGGTGTATTCATTAGGTAATTTTAGCTAGTTTTTCATGCTATTCTTGCTTGGATACTTTAGGGGTGGAGACAGGCAAACTGCCCGAGAAATGAGTATGACTAATGGAAAATCCTGGTGTGGTGCGTAGAACAAGCACAGAACTGCTGACTGAAAGGTAAGCAGTTCAAGACTACTAGCCACACCTTAGAAACCCTATACAGGGTTGCAATGAGTTGGAACCAACTCGATAGCAGTGAGCAACAACACTACCACCTATGGAAATATATGCCTACCTTTCCCAAGAGCTGAGTTTTGAGTTAGGGAGAGGGTTCAGAGTATTGGGCCAGGGCCCAGCATGGTGGATGCAAGCACGCCACTGCAACTCCCTGACAGGAACATCAGCTCTCTGTGTGGAACATCCGGAAGTGTCTGCCTTTCCTGTGCAAGAACCTGTGAAGCCCTTTGTGCTGCTAAATCCTTGCCCACTTTGCAGGCTGTTCTTCTCTTTGGACAGCAAGTTCACCCCTGGCAATTTCTTCAAGAATTTTCTAAAGGTTTTACAGGACAATTGAGAATTTAACAGTGTGAAAGGGATTTTCAGAATGAACTGAACCAAGGCTTGGTGAAGGTGAAACTCCCTCCAGCTCTCTGGAAAAGCAGTAGAAAATGCTTCAAATCGTCTGCACTCTGAGACCTCCACTATCCACAGCCCAGTTAGAAATGCCTGCTCTGGAAAAGCCTGTTTTCTACCCTGTGGGCTGGGAGAGTTGCATGGAGAGACACCTCCTTTGCTACACCCATCCTCACTCCCGAGTCCAAACCAAATCCACTACCACTGAGTCAATTCCAACTCATAGTGACTTTATAGGACAAAGTGAAACTGCCCCACTGGGTTTCCAAGGCTGTAAATCTTTTCAGAAGTAGACTGCCTCATCCTTCTTCTGTGAAGTAAATGGTGGGTTCGAACTGCTGACCTTTTGGTTAGCAATCCAACACTGAATGCACTGTGCCACCAAGGCTCCTCCACCTTTCTCCCAAGAAAGCTTAATTCTCACCTGGCCTTTTTACTTCTTTCCTTGCTGTGTTCCGAGACGAAAGTTTCATTTGTGGTCTAGAAAGGAGTGGAGAGAGCCAATTTCAGTTCAGTGATGATTAGAGTCAATTCTTCTTTGAAGACAGATGATTATAACCATGTTGTATTCTCACCTGCCCTCCTGCCTGAGTTATAAGGATGCTATGAACTTTACGCCATGTGTGGGGACTCTACCTTTTCCCTTCAAATGCTAACTGGAAGCTTGACAAGAATGACAAAAGTGCCAGGAGGAGTCCAGGTTGTGATGAGTAACGCAGGAATGTGGGTTGTGAATGCGCTGAATGGGCTGCCCCTTCTTGGAAGAGCTTGCCCCTGAAACATGCCATCTTCTTCTGGCTTCTGCTAGGCCAGTCTCCTCAGGGGAAGAGCAGAATGCCTAAGGCCTGCTCTCAGGGGGATAACTGGGGACTTGAAGCCAGCAACTCACCAGGGAAATGGTGGAGCTGGAGGGCAGGGTGCGGCAGAATCGCTTGAGTAAAGTCTCTTGAACCTGCAGATGAAGTCAGTGTTTCTGTTATGTCAGCCTTCAGACTGTGTGCAGAAGGAGCTTAGGTGGGCAGACTCACCTTCTTGTCCATGAGACAACCGAACAGCAAGATGAAGACACCCTGAGAAGATAAAAATGGAAAAAGGCTGATGAAAAAGGAGAAAGGAATCAACCCAAATCAACTTGTTCTCATCCTTTCTGCCCTTACTCTCTTTCCTCTTGTCCAAATCACATATGGGGGCTCCCCATTTCTCACTTCTTCCATCCATTCCCATCACTTGGTGCATAGGATCCAATTCTAGTGCTTTTCTTTTTTTCCTCTTTGTATTTTCTTTCTATTCTATCTTTTTTTCCTCTTTGTATCTTTCATTCTATCTTTTTTACTGTATAATTTGAATCCTTATTAAGGAATAATTCACATAAAATATAATTCACATAAAATTAAGTGAACACGCTAATGATCCCCTCCCCCATTCCCTGTCCCCTTCATCCCCTGGTAACTACTGCTTTTTTTCCCACCCTTAATAGATAGTTGCAAAGGGATTATCCAGATTGTTGTTGTTAAGTACTGTCAAGTCGGTTCCAACCCATAGCAGCCCTGGTGAGTTTGAACCACCAACTTTGTGATTCAAACTGACTTTGAAGTCCAGTGCATTAGCCCGCAGTGCCATACCAGGACTCCAAGGATTGGGTACTGACAATTCCCTGGCTTCCCTTTGAGGGGGTGTAGCAAAGAGCCTGGGTGAGAATCAGTCACACTCAGTTCCAGTCCACTCCACTGCTGCTTAGCTGGGTGACCTTGAGCAGGTTATATAATCGCTCTGCACTTTAATTTCCTCTCATGTTAAATGGGGATAATACCTGCCTCACAGGTTGTAGGAAGGATTAAATGAGATCTTGCGCATGTTAACATGCATGGCATGTAATCCCTTGCTACACAATTCTCTAAAGTAACTTCTCAGATTAATTGCTGTTGATTGGCATGATGATCTCATTCACCCTTTGAATTGTATTAGAGACTGAGATGTTTAACAATGAAGTGAGAGAAGGCAATGAAGAAGAATGAGCTTGTTTCATAAAAAACATCAGGCTTCCTGGTCGGTGAGAGACTGATGGACTGTAGTCCTTAGTCACACTTCAGGCCTGGGACTGAACCCACACCCCCATGGCTAAATTTTCAGCCAAACAATAGACAGGTCTATTAAGGGAACAATAACACTAGTGAGAATCATCAGCCTTGTAAGATCAAAAGGGCAGCACTTGTCCAAGGACCAAGTTCAGATGAGTTAGGAAAGAAGAGGGAATTGAAATAGGAAACACAAGGAAAATGTAGGATGCGTGATTTTACATTATGGGGACTCCAATCAACGAGATGAAACAAAATGTGTGTGAGTTATTGAATGGAAAACAGATATGCTCTGCAACTTTCATCCAATTCACACAAAAAAAGAGTGAACATGTTTCAGGTTCAAACTCTCCAAAGAATCAGTGAGCCCTCGGTGTCAGATTCCAGGGTTCCTGTTCTTAACCTAGACTCCTTGTTTCCCCACCTAGAAAATCTAGCATTTAAAGAGATGATGCATGGGAATCCCTTTAGTGAAAAGCTAAATTCCTTGGAGAGGTAGATAATAAACCAAGAAAGAAGAATATTAATATAATCCCAAATTAGAGGAGAGGAGAGGAAAGTTGTTTCGGGTTTCCAGAAATGTGGTCTCCCTTGGGCAGTCTCTCCAGAACAACCTTTTGAGGAAAGTCACTGCAAAAGAAGGGCGGGAGGGCTGGAGAGGAGACAGGGCGTAGGGGTGTGTTTAAGCAGAGTGCATACGGGTGCTGGCTAGGGCCAAACCAGTGCCAGGCAACATTATCTTCCTCTCAGCTATACTGAGCTGAGCTCCTTAATGCCAATGCAGGCGCTTCAGAGTTCACAGACCTTTTAAACTCATAAGCTGGAGAGCAATCAGGGCAGGTATTTGCTGCCATCCCTATTCTACAGACAAGAAAACCAAAGCTCAGAGAAATTATGTGATTTGTCCAGACTTTTCCAGCTAGGTAGTGGAGGAATGTGGATTCCAACATAAGCCTTCTAAAATTCTCAAACTTACAGGAAACATACTTAGGTGTTAAGCCTTTGACTACTAGCCCAAAGTTTGGCCATTTAAATAGAGGAACCTTGCAAGAAAGTCCTGGCGATGTGCTTTTGAAAGGTCACAGCCTTGGAAACCCTATGTTGTTGTTATTAAGTGCTGTCGAATCTATTTTGACTCATAGCAACTCTGTGTAGGGTTCCTGAGGAGCAGCTGGTGGGTTTGAAGTGCTGACCCCGTGGTTCACAGACCAGTGCTGATCCTACAGCACCACACCAGAAGTTCTGGGAACCCTGTGGAACAGTTCTTCTCTGTACACATGATATCATCATGAGTTGGAATCGACCCATGACAACCAACAACAATAACAGGTTGTTTCTGTTTCACCGTAATACCAGTATGAAGGGACTGGCAGTGACTTAGAATACCTAAAAACACAGCCATCATGTTACCACCCACCTGAGAGGTATTGAGAACCGTGAAGATGTAGTGGGGGACTTCGGAGACCTCCTCTATCAGAGTGGCCAGGCCCAGCCCCCAGGTCAGGCCAAAGATAGGTGTGAGAATGAGCAGGGCTTTGATCACCCCCAGAAGGGCTTGACGCTTCTCCACCTGAGGCCCCTCAGACAGTGAAGGTCTCAGCAACTTGAGCATAGCCATGGTTAGTACCAGCCCGTTCACGCCCACAATAGCCAACACTGGTCCCACGAAAGTGTAGAGTGCCCCTCCCTCCCCATCCAGCCAGCATGCCCCTTCCCTCAGGTATTTCCCCCGGGGTAGGTAGAGGACTAGAGCACCCCCTGCAAATCCCAGTGGGCACATATAGCCAAGGACCACCATCAGGGGAAGTACCCAGTGCTTTGACAGTTGATGGAAGACGAAGATCAGCTGGTGGGCTAACACCAGGGCCTGTGCAAGCATCCAGAAAAAGGTGGCCAGGTAGAGGAAATGGCAGAGGAAGGCAGCAGTCAGACAGAGTGGGCTATGGGGTCCTGGGGGAAGCAGCGGGGCTCCTAGGAAGCAGGTGTCTGCAGCCAGCAGGCAGAGTACCATGTTGAGCAGGGCTGCATGGCGGAAGTAGGCAACCTTGTTTCGTACCACAACTCTCCATACCAGCTTGTACACACCCAGGCACACAAGCAGTGCCAGGATGGAGGCCCCCAAGCCCAGCTGGCTCAGCAGCTCCAGGGTAGAGCTTTCTGGGACAGTGTGTGGAGACATGAGGACGGAGAAGGCTGTGAGGTGCAGACAGACACACTGAGTGGTAGAGCTGGCCTGGGCTGCCTGTGCCTGGCACCCTTCATCAGACCAACCCCCTTCACCTTGGAAGAGACCATGGTCCCAGAAAACACAGTGAGGGGTGCCATCTCCATCCCCAAAGTCCATGATGACCTCTCCCTGGTGGTAAGCCTGGCCACCTGCCATGATGGAGATGGAAAGGACCAGACCAGGAGTGGTATAGCGGGGGTCCCCCAACCCCCTTCCATAGTTTGAGGGCAGAAGGTGGTCCATTTTCTTCAGCACCAGGCTAGTAAGACTAATGTTGGCCTCACTAGGGGCCAGTGGGGCCAATGAGCGCCCCGGAATCTGTGCTTGCACTGGGGGCTGAGTGAAGGAGATTCTGTAGTCAGTGAGATTTGTGGGCTCAAGGAGTTGGGTCTGAAGCTGTACATTGGGCAAGAGGAAGGAGTACGGATGATCCTGTGGGTCCAGGCTGCATGCCAGGGACTCCACAGCCAGCAGGAGAGCTGAGCTTGCCGAGGGCTTCTGGGCCTGAGTCGGGGTCCACAAAGAACTGTTGTCCAAGTCTAGGATCTTGTCTGTGGCTGTCAGGAGAGCCTGTAGCATCCAACAGAGAGGAGCCCACAGCACTGAGCCAGGGCACTGGGAACTACAGACCTAGAAACATACCCACCCTAGTCCAGTGCAACACCCAACACTGAGGAGGAAAGGGAGGGAGGAGGAGGGCCTGGGAAGGGAGACTTGCCAGATAGGGAGAATGGGAGCTGTTGAGCCAACCACTTGGCAACATCTCCTATGCCCTTCTATCTGAAAGCCCTCCATCCCTTAGAGCCACCTGTCTTAAGAGGGTCCCAGTATCATTAGATACCCCATTCAATAAAGTTCGAAGGTGCTAGCTGTAGTAGAGGCATACTGTTCTGACGTGCTGGGTCACAAGTGTGGCCGTGTTTCCCAGGCATGAAGGGGGTGTGGCATCAATGCCTCCAACTATTCTTTTGGCTGCAGCTAATGAGTCACCAACTGAAGCCCACAAATGTGCTGATTTCAGTGAGTCCAGCAAATCTACGTGTGTGTTTGGCAATCTCCAAGTAGGTAGTCTATGTGTGTATGGCCGGGAGTGGGTGGGGAGGCTAGGGGTGGGGGGGAGTGAGCGAGGGAAGGGAACAGAAGGGGGGGTGTTGTAATCATGTCCTATCTATATGTCTGAGTGGGCGTAGATGCCTCCAAGTCCCCATGGGACCAGCACCGGGCCTTCTCCATATCCCAGTGCCTTGGAGACAGGCGTTTAAAGTAAGGGAGGACAGCACTAGGGGAAAGACACCTAAGCTCTAGAAAGGGCTGCCTGACAGCTTACAGTGATGTCAAAGACATAGGAGTGCCCATAGGTGAAGAACCGACCCCACACACACACTCCTGCCCAGCTGGGCTCCACTATGGTACAAAGCTCTCACCTTTAGGGCACTGTGGTTAAGATGCATTCTGGTCTCTGCCACCACCTTGGCCAGGACAGTCACGGTGTCCAACAGTGCCAGTAAATCTGAGGGTGACCTCACCTCCGCCACATGACCTGGCAACTTTGCCAGGAGATGTGGCACCTCTTTAGCAGGCTGGCCCTGGCCTGCCTGCAGCAGCTGAACAGACAAGACAGCAGGAAGGTGGGATGGTGCAAACATTCCCAAGGGAGGGACACCCTCTTCTCCTTCCCCCTGCTGCTTCCCCACCACACTCCACACCCACCCCAGGGAGAGCAGAAAGCATTAAGGGGAAGACCCAAGGGGAAGACACGGATAGCAATCTTAGTGGGGACACTTGATAGGACTGCAATTTGAGCTTCGACCCTAGGGGGACTGCTGGCCACTCTAAGGCTCTGACAGGTTTCAGCTCAGAGCAGCTGGGACTCGAGGCTGGGGCGCACGAGGAAAGGACTGTAAAGTTGGGAAACCTCTGAGTCCTAAATGAAGGAAGGGGAGGTCATAGAGGACAGTATATGCAGCGCCAGAAATGTTACCCTGGCTTGATGCAGCAAGGCCAGGAGCCTGGCATCTGTACAGCTACTGTGAATGGGTCCCCAGGCCCCATCAGGTCCACAGGACCTTGTCATCATTCCAGTCCTGTTCATAGGGCATGGGGCCTGTGCCACGTAGCCAGCCTTGGTGACATTCCAGGTAACAGCCAAGGAGTCCTCGGGGCACATGACGTCTCCATCTGGAGAGTGATGACCAGGAGAACTCAGCAGTCATGGTCTATCTCTAGCCTTTCATTGGGCAGAGCCCCTGCAGGCTTGGGAGCCTGGCCCTGTTGTCCAGGGTGGGGAAACCTCAAGGAGGAAAAGGAGTGCTTCCAGGTCAAGCCTGGAGCTCTCAGGCCTTCCTGCTGCCCTTTCCAGGGGAGAGCTGAAACCCAGAGCCCCACATACCCTGGATGATGCTGACGGAGACAGAGATCTTGAGAGGGGCCATTTCCGGGCTCTGCAGTTCATAAGTATATGTAGTGTCAGTTGCAGGGCAGCTGTGAACGGCCAGCACGAGGCACTCGGAGTCTGACTTACTGAGTAAGTAGACTGCGGGAAGATGAGACAAGGGAGCTGTCACTAGGCCCGAAACAGTTCTAGAAGCCTGCAGCTCCAGAGATGCTGTTTCAGTCCTTCTATCATTTCAGAAGGGGTGAAGTATGAGGACTAGCCGAATGGCCTGTGGTATTGAGCTACTATGGGTGGAACATGGATTTGGAAGAAGGTGGACCTGGGTGTGAATCCTGGGTCAAAGTTCTAGGACTTGTAGCCACTGTCTCCTCTTTTGTCAAATGGGGTGATCACCAAGTTCACCTCACAGTGTTTATTAGGTGAGTTCAATGGGCTTGTGTGGGTGGAAGCATTTTGAAAATGTTTTCTATACATATATTTATTATGATTGCAATAGGTATAAGATTGTTCTGATAGGGTGGAAAAAAAAGGGAGTGTTGAACATGTGGCCCCAGAACTCCCAGGTGGAACTGCAGCTACCTGAGGAGATTAGCTGCCTCTCTCTCCAGAGCCCCTGACCACGTGGCCCCTTTTCCTACCTGTGTTGCCCTCCCCAGGGCTCCAGGAAGCATTGTGGGCCAGGTGTGTGCTAGGGATGCAGCAGCGCAGGTGGAAGCCAGAGGAAGTAGCACAGGAGACGGAGAGCTGGTCTGGAAGTCGCGCCACATCTGTCTCCTGCAAGGGGACCCTCACCTCCTGGTGCAGCTCCCACCTGAATCCTTGGGCCTCAAAGCAGCACATGTACTCGCCTGCAGACACACACCTTCTGCACCTGCCGGCTCCTCTGCGCCCTCCCCACCTTGTACCACAGAGTCCCTGTGACTTCCCAAACTCTGGCTCTCATTCACCCTCCCTCTTCTGCTCTCCACCCAAAGCTTAATGTCAGCCAGAAAGATCCAGAATGGCCCTTATTGAGCACATTTCCAGCCCACAAAGGATTTCCAGGACAAAGAAGGGATCTGCAAAAGAGGCTCTGTACTCATTTCTATTAGCCTTTACTACGGTTTCTCCCATGAACCTCTCTACCTACAGCAGCTGCCCCCCTGCGCTGTCCCTGCCATTTTGTTGCTGTTGTTAAAGTGTGGTTGTGTCAGTGCTGACTCACAGTGACCCTGTAAAGGACTGGCTGATGGGTTTGAACTGCCAACCTTTCGGTTAGCAATCCAGTGCTTATCCTACAGTCTCACACCAAGAAGAATATGGATCTGAAATTGAGATGATCTTTCCAGTCTCCTCTACACTGAAATGGGCCTCTTAGCCTTTCTTTCCCCAAAGTGAATATATGGAAAGATGAAACAGGAAAGGAAGTGGAGAAAAGAGAAGGGAAGAAGGAGGGAGCAGCATGAAGGAGAGATGAAGGGAAGCAGAGAAAGAAGAGGAAGAGAAGGGGAGACCCAGAAAGAGGGTAAGAGAACCCCATTGAGAAGGGTTACCTGCCCAGTCCTGGGAGATGTTGAAGATACTGAGGGCAGCCTGACCCTGTCTTGAAGAGTTCAAGGACACCTGTGATCCTGGTTGCAGAAGGATGGGGCTGGAGCTCCTTTGGGGCCGCAGGAACCAGTGCAGGTCAGTGGCGGTGAGGTGCACAAGGAGAGTCAGGTTCAGCGTGCTGCCAGGCTTTGGCAGTGGGGAGTCTATGTGCAGTGTCCCAGGGACTGCAGAGAGGCAGGAGATGGCCCTCCTCGCAGTGTAGCCCTCACTCCTTCCCCACACCTTCTGAAGCCTTTCTAGCATTTTATTATCCCTGAAAGGACATCTGAGTGTAGCTACTGTAACTCAACCTGAAAGACCCTGTCTATCATTTGTTGTTGTTGTTAGGTGTCATCTAGTTGGTACTGACTCATAGTGACCCTGTGCATAGCAGAACAAAACATTGCCCAATCCTGGGCCAACCTCAATTTTGTTGCCACTCTTGAGTCCAATGACGCTACCACTTTGCCAATCCATCTCGCTGGGGGTCTTTCTCTTTTTCTCTGACCCTTCACCCTACCAAACAGATATCATTCTCCAGCAACTTCTCCTGACAATATGTTCAAACTATGAGAGACAAAGTTTGGCCATCCTGGCCTCCAAGGAACACTCTGGCTGTACTTCTTCCAACACAGGACTGTTTATTCTTTTGGCAGCCCATGGCACTTTCAATATTCTCCTCCAACACCATAACTCAAAAGAGTCAATTCTTCTACTGTCTTCCTTATTCACTGTCCAGCTTTTACATGCATATGATGTTATTGAAAATACCATGGCTTGGGTCATTGGGATTCCCCAAAAAAGGAACCCCTTTGGTATATGACTTCCCCTTCCTCCAGGTGGCTTGGGACCATTGAAGATTCTTCCTGAACTCCTAGGTCACTCCAGCACTTTCTGTCCTTGTTCAGATGTCCCTGGGGCCCTGCTGTTCTTTCATTAATCTCACTGTCTAGGGCCTAAACTCAGGGTTTGCGATTTGCTGTGAGCTGAAATTTTCTCCTGTCCAGAGAAACTACTGGTTTTGAGCCAGCTGGAAGAAACACAGAGTTCAAAGAGAGAGGAACACCATACACACACAGAGGATTTCTTCCACATGGGGCCACTGGTTTTCAAGTTCCCAACCCTCCTTACCAGGTGGCAGTAACTGACAGTAGGCGGGCTCAGGATAGCTGAAGACAAGGCAGTCACAGGGCTGGTGGTTGTGAAGGGTGAGGCAGGAAGAGTGATGGGAGCAGACACTGGTGTTCCACTGATACCCAGAGAGACACACACAATAGAAACCCCCATCTTGGGCCTTACACTCTGTGATAAAAAGAAAGGCAGTGAATAAAAAGTGATAAAAAGAAATGGGCAGGCAGGCCAAGAAAGCCAGGGAGGCAGAACCAACTGTGTGATGCCTAAGAGGTTTTAAGGTTGGGTATCTGCAACAATCCCAGAGTTACAGGTGCCTCAATCAAGCCCACGTGTCAGGGGCTGCTCCCCAGCCAGGGCTCAAAGTAGCCCAGGTTAAGTTCAAATGTCCTTGCCCATGGTGTGTGCCCTTTGGTCCCTCTACCAAACCTGGACACGGAGTAGGAAGGGGAGAGTCTATCTGAGGAGCCATGAGGATGCTTCAGGAAGAATTTCAGACAAGCTGCTGCAGGAGGCTCAGTGCCCAAGTCCTGGTCAGCTTGGAATCTCCTCTCTGAGCAGGCAGTTGCACCAAGATGCATGGTGCAGTGGGGGTCCTCCCTACCTGTCGTAAGGCTGAGACTACTAAGAGTTCTTGGGGATGACGAAGTCAAGGCAGAGGAGTGAGCCAGGGTCCTGGAGAGTTCCGGTGGCCAGTTGTCTGAAAAGTCCAGATGCACATAGACAGAGACCAGGACTGAGTCTACAGACAGGGCAGATGGGGGAAGGGGAGGAAGATGCTATAAGGTTGTGGATCCACCCCTCTTTTGCCTCCCACGCTGATGTGGTCATTCCCAGGAACATGGGAAAAATCCCACCTCATGAAGCCTTTCTAGGCACCCAGGCAGGACACAGAAAGGCAGTGACTCCTCCCCATGTGACAATACGTTCAGATACACTGTTCCATGGCATCTTCCCAACAAGCCCCATTTTACAAATGAGGCTTACGAGGTTTCCTCAAGGCCTTGCAGCTAGAGAACTAGTTGGTACAGGGACCTGGTCTGGCTGACCTCTCTGCTCCCTCACTGTGCCCTGTCCCAATCCTTCCATCCACCCCCACCCCCCTCGCCTCTTGTAAGTCCCCTCCTTCTGTCTTCTCACCAGATGCTCCACTCTCTTGGCCCAGTTGCTTCTCAGATTCCCCCATGGCCTGACTCGGTCCCTGAAACGGAACAGAGGGAAGGCCTCTGAGAGAGGCTGACAGGGGTTTTCCCAGGGGTTCCTTCTTCCCAGGTGGCCTCAGGCACCAGCCTTGCTAGTCTGGCCTGCCTCTGAAGCTCTTCTTTTTGCCTGGAACCAAGTGTGACCATCAAGAGGGGAAAGTGGCTTCTGGTAGGAGGTTCCAGGGACATAGACCAGGGGCCCCACCTGGACCTGCAAGTCCTACCTGAAACCAGGAACCAAGCACACCCTGGAGAGTCAACATGCTTTGCTTAATTCCTTCCTGAGTTTGATGAGCCCTCGCCTCGAGTTCATCCAGGCTAGTTAAAATGTCTGGTTCTAGAGAGCCAGTGGGGAAGGGTGAGTAGAGGTGAGTGGGCTCAGAGGCTGGGGGACTTCTGTTCTCTGGGATTTGCCATGAGGCTGATCAGAAGGCGGCATTTGCCCTTCCTTTTGTCTCTGATTCCTGCAAATGATTTCCCCATCAACTCCTTCCTCTCTCAAAATTGCATGTGGAGATCTATCCATCTCTAAATATAGTTACAGATCTAGATAAGGAGTCCCTGGGTGGCACAAATGGTTAAGTGCTTACCTACTAAGAGTTTGGAGAGGCCAGTCCACCCAGAGGCGCCTTGGAAGAAAGGCCTGGCAAACTACTTCCAAAAAAATTCAGCAATTGAAAACCCTATGGAGTGAGTACAGTTCTACTCTGACACATATGGCATCACTATGAATCATGACTATGAATGGCAGCTGGAATAGATATTGATACAGATGTGAATATGGGTAAGATATGAGGAGGCTTTAGAAAGGGCATGGGAAAATTGAATTATAAATAATGGAATTTTTCATGAACTTTTTGAAGCCTCCTTGTATGGAGATAGATAAAGCATAGATAAAACCAGATTCTTCTCTTGAAGAAAGAAAACAGATTCCAAAAAGAACTAATCTAGACTCTGCTACTTTTCCTCAGATTCTCTTCTGCCCTCTAAGCCAATCGTTACCTAATCTGGAAAGTTTTTCTTTTCTTTTCATTTTTAAATTGCAGGCTTGATTGGAAGAGCCTTTGTCCAAAGTACAGCAGGCATCATCCATGTTTTCAGGGACAATAGAGAAATCTTGGGAAACAGACCGATAAGATCTCTTAAAGGTCAAGTAACAAACCAGTTTCTGCCCTCTAGCCTTTTTCTCCTCCACCTGCCCTTCCTCCCCACTCCCAAGAGGTCCAGCCCAGGGGTACCTCTGCAGACCTCCCCCAGGTCCTCACCCATCTCACGTACAGGCTGGGATGTTTGGATAGCTGGTGACCCCAGCGTGGGGAAAGTCAAAGCCAGGAGCAGCAGCGGGGCCACCAAGTACACCATGGCTCAGTGGAGCAATCCCCAGGAACCCTCCTGTTAATGTGTCATGCAAATGTCCCCAGAGGAAAGCTGGGGCTGGGCACAGATGGGATGGGAGGGGAAGATGGAAGGAAGCCAGGGTCAAGTTTACAGAGGAAGTGCTACAGCCCATGACTTTTGAGTCAAATGGGCATCCAGGCCACTGAGGGGGTCACCTGGAATCCACACATCCTAGGCTCATCCACAGTCTGGACCAAGGAATCAGTGAGCAGGAGAAGACTTAGGGAGCTACCAGCAATGTGTCAATAAACTGGGTTCAGTGACATTCTCAAGGATCCAGGAGATCCAGATTGTTCTGGAACTCCCAAGAAGCTATATCATTGCTCAAAGAGCTAAGATTAGAAAAGACTCAGAACTTACTGCTACCTCAAAATATGTTAGTCCAAAATAAATTCCAGATAGACTAGTGATTTACATGTAGAAGGGAATCTGGAAAATGCTAGAAGAAATTATCAACTAATTTCACAAAATAATTTTGAAGTAAGGATACACACCCAGAAGGGAGGAAGCAGATAAATTTGACTGTCTAGTTTTGGGGTTTTTTTTTTATTTGGCACAAAAACTATGTGTTAAAATAAAAATTATAAAACTATGTTTAAATAAAGTTTTCTTACATAAGAACTTTGTGTCTTATATATCAGTAACATAGAAAATAGGAAAGAAGATAAGAATAGGCAGCTTACTGAAAAGTAAATTCAAATCAATGAAGGAAATATAAAAGCATTCAGCCTCATACATAAAAAATGCAAATCAAAATAACAAGAAGTCTCTGGGTGGCACAAATAGTTAAACAGTCATGTCCTTCCAGAAGCACCTCAGAAGAAAGGCCTGGTGATCTATATCCCAAAACTCAGTCATTGAAAACCTTATGGAACACAGTTCTACTCTGATACACATGGGGATCACCATAAACCAGAATCAACTCAATGTCAACTGGCTAATTATTAAAACACAAAATAATGACTATATTCAGTGTATATGTGTATAAGGCTATTCAGTGTTGTTGTTGTTGTTGTTAGGTGCCACCAAGTCGATACTGACTCATATAGTGACCCTATGCACAACAGAACGAAACACTGCCCAGTCCTGGGCCATCACACAATCGTTGCTACATTTGAGCTCATTGATACTGCCACTGTGCCAATCCATCTCGTTGGGGGGTCTTCCTCTTTCTCACCAACCTTCACTTTACCAAACATGATATCCTTCACCAGGGATTGGTTCCTCTTGACAATATATCCAAAGTATGAAACATGAAGTCTGGCCATCCTAGCTTCCAAGGAGCACTCTGGCTGCACTTCTTCCAACACAGATCTATTAGTTCTTTTGATAGTCCATGGTACTTTCAATATTCTCCTCCAGCACCATAACTCAAATGCATCAATTCCCCTATGGTCTTCCTTATTCCCTGTCCAACTTTCGCATGCGTATGAAGTTATTAAGAATACCATGGCTTGGGTCAGGTGCACCTTAGTTCTCAAACTGACATCTTTGCTCTTCAACACTTTAAAGAGGTCTGTACAGCAGATTTGCCCAATGTAATACATCATATGTTGTTATTGTTAAGTGCCGTACAGTCATGTTCAACCCATGGCGACCCTGTATAGGGTTTCCAAGGAGCAGCTGGTGAGCTTGAACCACTGATCTTGTGGTTCAGTGCATTAACTCACAGCACCACACCTAGCAAATGAATTAACCAAAATGTCTGTTAGAAAGAGATCGTTTAAATAAAGCTGTGAATAATAGTAACTCTATTTTGGAGTGACCACCAATATACTCGTATGTGGTGGTTTAAAGTATACATTATGGATACCAAACCAAAACCAAACCCAGTGCCTTACCAGTGGGTAACAACCCTATACAACACAGTAGAACTATGCTACCAAGTTTCTAAGGATGTAATTCTTCACAGAAACAGATTATCACATTTCTCCCACAGACGGAGATGGCTGGTAGTTCAAATAGCAGACCTTTTGGTTAGTGTTATTATTGTTAAGTGCCATTGAATCAGTTCCAACCCACAGTGCCTATTCCTACCCACAGTCAGTTCTGACCCACAGTTTCCAGGAGTGGCTGGTGAGCTTGATCCTCTAACTTTGTGACTCAGACCAACAGCACATTAACCAACAGCCCACACCAGTAGCCCAATGCTTAACCACTGTGCCTCCAGAACCTTTATTACTGTGAATATTATACCATTTATATAAAACAAGGAAAATCTAGATATTTGTGCTTTATGTATACTGTAGCTAGAATATTTCTGGAAGAATACATCAGAAATTCAGCAATAGTTGTTGCCTGTCATGAACGGGACTAGAGGTCTTAATGGGTCTGTATGATTTCTGTTTTATTAACCATATTCATCCATCCCTTGCCTGTCAGTTTGTGGTACTGTGGTGGCTTGCATGTTGCTGTGATGCTAGAAGCTATGCCATCATCTGCATTTGGAATACCAGCAGGGTCACCTGTATTTGGAATACCAGACAGGTTTCAATGGGGCTTCCAGACTAAGACAGACTAGGAAGAAGGAGAGGTGGACTACTTCTGAATATTTTACCACTGAAAACCTTAGGAATAGCTGTGGAACATTGTCAGATTTAGTACCAGCACATGAAACCATTATAAATAGTAGCAGAATTTTTCCAGAAAATCACTAGTAAAGTATACTCACCATGGAATGGTCAGTCATTCAAATCCCAAGGACAACATTAACCTAAGGACAGAGTTGAGACAGGATGGAAAGGTGGGCGGAATGCAATTAGGAACCACAATGAGGAAGTGGTATAGCTGTTGTTGAATGGAGGGTATTGTAATCATTGAAATCAAACAAAGTGTATGATTTGTTGAATGTAAAACTGATCATCCTGATGCCACGTTTTTCTTCATATAATCCAGTTTCTCAGACTATAGATCCACCAAATATTCAGAAGAATATTAAAAGTATCATGGACCTCCAAAAGAACAAACAAATCTGTGTTGGAAGAAGTACAGCTGGAATGCTACTTAGAAGGCAGGATGGCTTTGTCTCTCATACTTTGGACATATTATCAGGAGGGACCAGTCCCTGGAGAAGGACATCATGCTTGGTAAAGTGGAGGGTCAGCGAAAACCAGGAAGAGCTCAACAAGATGGATTCCAGAACACTAAATTGTGCTCATAAATAACCTATATATAGACAAAGAGGCAATCATTTTAACAGAACAAGGGGACACTGAATGTTTAAAATCAGGAAAGGTGTGTGCTAGGGTTGTATTCTTTCCCCACATTTATTCAATCTGTTGAGCAAATAATTCAAGAAGCTGAAATATAAAAAGAAGAAAGTGGCATCAGGATTGGAGGAAGATTCATTAACAACCTGCGATATGCAAATGATACAACCTTGCTTGCTGGAAGCAAAGGGGACTTAAAATACTTACTAATGAAGATCAAAGACCACAGCATTAAGTATGGATTGCACCTCAATGTAAAGAAAATAAAGATCCTCACATATGGACCAATAAATTGCATCATGGCAAATGGAGAAAAGATTGAAGTCGTCAAAGACTTCATTTTGCTCAGCTCAATCACCAACACTCATGGAAGCAGCAGTCAAGAAATCAAATGAAGTGTTGCATCAGGCAAATCTGCTGCACAAGACCTCTTTAAAATGTTGAAGAACAAAGATGTCAGCTTGAGGACTAAGGCACACCTAACCCAAGCCATGGTATTTTCAATAACCTCATATGCATGTGAAAATTGGACAATCAATATGAAAGATCACAGAAGAAATGATGTATTTGAATTATGGTGTTAGAGAAGAATATATTAAAAGTTCCATGGACTGCCAGAAGAGTAAACAAATCTGTATTGGAAGTACAGCCAGAATGTTCCTTAGAAACCAGGATGGCTAGTCTCTGTCTCTCATACTTCACATATGTTATTAGGAAGATCAGTCCCTGGAGATGGACATCCTTCTTGACAAAGTGGAGTGTCAGTAAAACAGAGGAAGACCTCCAATGAGATGGGCTGACACGGTGGCAGCAACAATGGGCTCAAACATAATAATTGCGAGGATGGCACCGGATGGAGCAGCGTTTGGTTCTGTTGTACATTGGGTCGCTATGGGTTGGAATTGACTCAGTGGCACCTAACACCAGCAAAAAAAACATCCATAGTCATATACTTTATTTAATTAGGAAAAGAAAGGGTTGATTTAAACACACATAGCTCCTTTGGTAGAATTCTAGCCCAAGATCATTTTCATTTTTATCATTCCCTCAAATCTTCCCTTGTTAAAATTGCTACTGAGACAGCAGCAGACACAAAGAGAGAATACATTCATGGGAGCAAAGCCTTTGTAAATGACTGATCCCAGAAAAGACAAAAATGGTGAAAAATCAGGTTTGAGAATCAAAAGGAGAAGTGAGGGAGAAGAGAAACAGGTACTTTCTGTGGCATGCTTTCAGCTGTAAACTGTCTATGCAGTTTCAGGTGATCTCAGATGGGCCAAGGGGACATGGGCTGCAACAGTATCTACTACAATAAAAGCAGATGATGGAGAAAGTCAAGCACAAAGTGGTCCTGGGCAATGCTCACCAGGGTCTATGTAGCACCAGAAACTACAGAAGAGAAAGGAGGAGAATGTGGGCTCAATAGGAGAGAGGGTACTTCCAGGGAGTGGAGCCTTAGAGAGGAGACGCAAGGACAGATTCCCACACTTCAGTGAAGAGAAGATTCACCATCTAGAAGAATTACTGCTGAAGGGACAAGGGACTCTGTGAGAACATTAGAAAGTTGATGGAACTGGAGATGGAAAGACCTCTAAGGATTCCACCCCCAAACATCATTTTCTCTAAATAATACCCAACTCATTTTCATAGCTTTGAATTCCTGGCAAGAAATAGGAATTACAAGGAAGACATCAATATAGTCCTAGTTCAATAAAAGCAGAAATATCCCAGGTATATAAAACTATTGCCAAAACT